CCCTAACTCCCAAACCGGGAACCCAATTGGTGCCCCGTCTTCTCCCACAAGTCTCTCGTGTTTAGGTGGTCGTGTGTGCCAAGTTTCGTACCAAATCGATGCCGTTTGGTGATTTTGGAGCATCAACACCTCGATTTCAAATTTTTTAAGGAACTACTTTTGCCCAGACTGAAATCCGGCTCTAACTCCCAAACGAGGAACCCGATTTGAGCCCCGTCTTCTCCCACAAATCTCTCGTGCCTAGGCGGTCGTGTGTGCCAAGTTTTGTGCCAATCTGACCCCGTTTGGTGATTTTGTGGCGTCAACAACTCGAATTCAATTTCTTAAGGAACTAGTTTGCTTGAAGTGAAATCCAGCTCTAACTTCCAAACCGGGAAATCGATTGAAGTCCCGTCTTCTCCTGCAAGTTTCTCGTGCCTAGGCAGTCGAGTGTGCCAAGTTTCGTGCCAAACCGATGCCTTTTGGTGATTTTGGGGCGTCAACACCTCGAATTCAAATTTATTGAGGAACTAGTTTGCCTAGATCGAAACCCGGCTCTAACTCCTAAACCGGGAACCCGATTCAAGCCTCATCTTCTCTCACAAGTCTCTCGTGCCTAGGCGGTCGTGTGTGCAAAGTTTTGAGCCACACCGACGCCGTTTGGCAATTTTGGGGCGTCAACACCTCGAATTCAAATTTCTAAAGGAACTAGTTTGCCCAGACCGAAATCCGGCTCGAACTCCCAAACCGGGAACCCGGTTCCAATCCCGTCTTCTCCCACAAGTCTCTCGTGCCTAGGCGGTCGTGTGTGTTAAGTTTCGTGCTAATCGAACCCCGTTTGGTGATTTTGGGGCGTTAACACCTCGAATTCAAGTTTCCAAAGGAACTACTTATCCTAGAGAAAAATCCGGCTCTAACTCCAAAACCGGGAACCTGATTAGAGTCCTGTCTTCTCCCACAAGTTTCTCATGCCTACGCGGTCGTGTGTGCCAAGTTTCGTGCCAAACGGACGTCGTTTGTTTATTTTGGGGCGAAAAGACCTCGAATTCAAGTTTCTTAAGGAACTAGTTTGCCTAGAGTGAAATTCGGCTCTAACTCCCAAACCGGGAACACGATTAGAGTCCCGTCTTCTCCCACAAGTCTCTCGTGCCTAGGCGGTCGTGTGTGCCAAGTTTCGTGCCAAACTGACGCCGTTTTGGTGATTTTGGGGCCTCAACATATCGAATTCAAATTTCTTAAGGAACTAGTTTGCCTAGACCGGCATCGGCTCTAACTCCAAAACCGGGAACCCGATTCGAGCCCCCTCTTCTCCCACAACTCTCTTGTGCCTAGACGGTCGTGTGTGCCAAGTTTCGTGCAAATCCAACCCCATTTCGTGATTTTGGGGCGTCAACACCTCGAATTCATGTTTCTTAAGGAACTAGTTTGTCTAGAGCAAAATCCGGCTCTAACTCCCAAATCGGGAACCCGATAGGAGTCCCGTCAACTCTGTGAAGTTTCTCGTGCCTAGGCGGTCGTGTGTGCCGAGTTTCGTGCCAAACCAACGTTGTTTGGTGATTTTGGGGCGTCAACACCTCGAATTCAAATTTCTTAAGGAACTAGTTTCCCTAGAGTGAAATCCGGCTATAACTCCAAAACCATGAACCCGATTGGAGTACTGTCTTCTCCCACAAGTCTCTCGTGCCTAGGCGGTCGTGTTGCCAAGTTTCGTGCCAAACCGACGTCGTTTGGGGATTTTGGGGCATCAACACCTCGAATTCAAATTTCATCAGGAACTAGTTTGCCTAGACCAAAAGCTGGCTCTAACCCCCAAACCGGGAACCCGATTCGAGCCCCGTCTTCTCCCACAAGTCTCTCGTGCCTAGGCGGTCGTGTGTCAAGTTTCGTGCTAATTCGACCTCGTTTGGTGATTTTAGGGCGTCAACACCTCGAATTCAAGTTTTGTAAGGAACTTGTTTGCCTAGAGTGAAATCCACGTCTAACTCCCTGACCGGGAACTCGATTGGAGTCCCGTCTTCTCCCACAAGTTTCTCGTGCCTAGGCGGTCGTGTGTGTCATGTTTCGTGCCAAACCGATGCCTTTTGGTGATTTTGGGACGTCAACACCTCGAATTCAAGTTTTTTAAGGCACTAGTTTGCCTAAAGTAAAATCCGGCTCTAACTCTCAAACCGGGAACCCGATTGGAGTCCCGTCTTCTCCCACAAGTCTCTCGTGCCTAGGCGGTCGTGTGTGCCAAGTTTCGTGCCAAACCGACGCCGTATGGTGATTTTGCGGCCTCAACATATCGAATTCAAATTTCTTATAGAACTAGTTTGCCTAGACCGGCATCCGGCTCTACCTCCCAAATCGGGCACACGATTCGAGCCCCATCTTCTCCCACAACTCTCTCGTGCCTAGGCGGTTGTGTGTGCCAAGTTTCGTGCAAATCCAACCCCATTTGGTGATTTTGGAGCGTCAACACCTCGAATTCACGTTTCTTAAGGAACTAGTTTGCCTAGAGCAAAATCTAGCTCTAACTCCCAAATCGGGAACCCGATTGGAGTCCCGTCCTCTCCCACAAGTCTCTCATGCCTAGGCAGTCGTGCGTGCCAAGTTTCGTGCCCAACCAACACCGTTTGGTGATTTTGGGGCTTCAACATATCGAATTCAAATTTCTTAAGGAACTTGTTTGCCTAGACCGGCATCCGGCTCTAACTCCCAAACCGGAAACCCGATTCGAGCCCCATCTTCTCCCACAACTCTCTCGTGCCTAGGCGGTCGTGTGTGCCAAGTTTCGTGCAAATCAACCCCGTTTGGTGATTTTAGAGCGTCAACACCTCGAATTCACGTTTCTTAAGGAACTAGTTTGCCTAGAACAAAATTCGGCTCTAACTCCCAAATCGGGAACCCGATTAGAGTCCTGTCAATTCCCTCAAGTTTCGCGTGCCTAGGCGGTCGTGTGTGCCAAGTTTCGTGCCAAACCAACGCCGTTTGGTGTTTTTGGGGCATCAACACCTCGAATTCAAGTTTCTTACGGAACTAATTTGTTTAGATTGAAATCCGGCTGTAACTCCCAAACCCGGAACCCGATTGGTGTCTCGTCTTCTCCCATAAGTCTCTCGTGGCTAGGCGGTCGTGTGTGCCGCGTTTTGTGCCAAACCAACGCTATTTGGTGATTTTGGGGCATCAACACCTCGAATTCAAATTTCCTAAGGAACTAGTTTGCCTAGACCGAAATCCAGCTCCAACTTCCAAATCGGGAACCCGATTCGAGCCCCGTCATCTCCCACAAGTCTCTCGTGCCTAGGCGGTCGTGTGTGACAAGTTTCGTGCTAATCAAACCCCGCTTGGTGATTTTTTGGCATCAACACATCGAATTCAAGTTTCTTACGGAACTAGTTTGCCTAGAGCAAAATCTGGCTTTAACTCCCAAACCAGGAACCCGATTCGAGCCCCGTTTTCCCCCACAATGTCTCATTTGCCTAGGCGGTCTTGTGTGCCAAGTTTTGTGCCGATCCGACCCCGTTTAGTGATTTTGGGCATCAACATCTCGTATTTAAACTTTTTAAGGAACTAGTTTGCCTAGTTCGAAATTCGGCTTTAACTCCCAAACTGGGAATCCGATTGGAGTCCCGTCTTCTCCCACAAGTCTCTTGTGCCTAGGCAGTTGTGTGTGCCAAGTTTCGTGCCAAACCGATGTCGTTTGGTGATTTTGGGGCGACAACACATCGAATTCAAATTTCTTAAGGAACTAGTTTGCCTAGACTGAAATCTGGCTCCAACTCCCGAATCGGGAACTCGATTCGAGCCCCGTTTTCTCCTACAAATCTGTCATGCTTAGGCGGTCATGCGTGCCAAGTTTCGTGCCAAACTGACGCCTTTTGATAATTTTGGGGCGTCAACACCTGGAATTGAAGTTTCTTAAGGAACTAGTTTGCCTAGAGTGAAATCCGGCTCTAACTCCCAAACCGGGAACCCGATTGGAGTCCCGTCTTCTCCCACAAGTCTCTCGTGCCTAGGCGGTTGTGTGTGCCAAGTTTCGTGCTAAATCGACGCCGTTTGGTGATTTTGGGGCCTCAACATATCGAATTCAAATTTCTTAAGGACTAGTTTGCCTAGACCGGCATCCGGCTCTAACTCCCAAACCGGGAACCCGATTCGAGCCCCGTCTTCTCCCACAACTCCCTCGTGCCTACACGGTCGTGTGTGCTAAGTTTCGTGCAAATCCAACCCCGTTTGGTGATTTTGGAGCATCAACACCTTGAATTCATGTTTCTTAAGGAACGACTTATGGGAACATAAATTTTTTAGTAGGACCATATGTAGCATTAGTCTCCCTAATAAGACATATAAATAATTTTTCTTATTTTTTAATCCTTAACATAAATAATTAATATTTTATTTTTTTCACCAATTATACAATTATGAAATATTTTGTACCCGTATTCACAGCTATCGAACAATCAGCCTGTTTGAAAATGCGAATCTGTAAAAGAATGTTACATAGCAAGTGATCAAAAAGGCAAGCATAACTTCGAGATGACCAACGACGTTTGCTAATTAATTCCGCCATGAAACACAAACAGCACACAGAGAGAGAGAGAGAGAGGACAGTCCAAATCCTTTTTTTAATTTTTTTATTATCTCTCTCTCTCTCATCTATATACAATATAATATACATAAATAATCTCTCACTGAGCAAGTGTATAGTATAGCATAGTATATGCTGGTGATAGAATAGAATACTACAGTATCTATCAACATCAACAAATAGTCCTAGGTTGTGGTGGTTGACAAGACGGACATTACAAAATGCCACCTAGGTGTTTTTGCACAAGGAGGAGAATATTAGTATATTACTGGGTATATGATTTGATTTTGATATTTTCAGAGTGTCAACGTTGTAAAAATAAAGAAGGAATTATCGGATTCGCCGAAGGAAAAGATGAAGTCTGTATTGATTTGACAAATGAAAGGTTTGTCGTTTATTACTTGGGACCTAACAAGCATCTTTTGTGGTTGTTTAAATTCGACTCAACCAGGAGATCATCAGTTAAGCTTTGTGGAGAATAGGTGGTCGTCACAAATCCAAGAAGTGAGACTCTGCCATTTGGCATTGTATTACACTACTCTGCCTTTTCTCAACTTCACCTCTCAGGTTCGTTTTATTTACTCTACTATACTGTGCCTTCTTTATTTATTTATTTTGAATCCTTCAATGGCTTACTCTCTGTGTTTTACCTGTTTTGTACATTGTAGGAGATAGAGGTTTATTTATGTATATATATATTTTTAATTAAGGTGTGAATTGTTTTGTTTATGTAATGTAAATATAAAGGAGGGTTTCTCAAGTGAGAGATTGTCATTTCTTTTTGGTAATGAGGGTATACTGAGTGACCCCAACGGGGTCAAATGCTTCATGTGTTCTGTTTTGTTGATATCAAAATGTAATTATAGATAGAAAAAGAAGGTGATTTTTTTCGTTATAGGATGATTATGTTTTGTTAATGTTGTAATGTACATGTCTATATATATATAGAGAGAGAGAGATAGAGAGAGAGAGAGAGAGTTTGTCAATGGATCACAATGTTTTATTGATTTTGTAATGAAAATTTGAGGAGAAACAGATTGTAATGATAGAAGAGATGATTTTTTTAAAGGAGAGTTTTCTTTTTCAATGACTTACTGTTTGATTGTTTTTGAAGGGTATACATTAAGAGAGAAAATGTTGGAGAGAGAGAGACAACTGTCTTTCTCGCTGACTCATGCAGGTTCATTGATTTTGGTAAATATTCAAACCGTGAGAGAAACATAGTATAGAGATTGAAGAGACAATCTCATAGAGAACAACCGAGAGGAGTTTTCTTTCATGATAACTGGCTCTGTTTCAGAGATCATGTAGTATCTATAGTAAGAGGGGATAAGAGAGAATGAGGAGGGAGTGAGAGTAATGCTAGTTTGGTGAGTAAAGAATAATTTATCTACCTGATTCATATGCCAATTTTTGGATTCTTAAACTCCATCAACAGTGGCATTACAGGGAGGGGTATATAGGGTGCTCCAAGCCGGCTAAGGCAGCTCCAGAGGTGGAGATAACTTCTTTTCATCTCAAAGGTATGTTCTCGATTCTGTTATGCTGTTTTCTAAATATGATATTGATTATTGGAATTGTTGGTTTCTCCAGAGTCCACACTACAAATCGTAGCCTTTCAAGATTTATGCAGCAGTAACATTAATGAATAACTTTTTCGTAACATGATGAAAGTTGGGATTTTAAAGCCATATTCTCTTGCTGTTATGATTGGTTTTTTTAGCTGCAATGTTGAGGGGGGAAAATAAATTTGGGATGATTCCAGTGTGTTCTGGCTGTTTCTTATGAGGAAGACTTTTTTTAGCAGATAAGTTTGGCATATCTTTCATATAATATGTCAATATTAGGAATATATTTAGGAGCTTTGTTTTAAACATTAAGAATCTTTTTGTCTGACAAGGGTTTCTGTTTTTGCTGTTCTTCCTGCTGGGTGGTTATATAACCCACTAGAAGCTCTCTGATATTTAACACAACAATGAAGAACATATAAAGTGCTAGTGTTTCTTTTATAATCTAAGATTAGTGTTCGTTTGATTCAAGATTTTATGTTATTCTTGTATTCACCCTTGTGTATTGTTTGGAAAAATTGGGAGTGATGCAAATGGAAGCTAGGTCTCAGCTTGTTTTGTAATCTTGACAGGGAAGATGGACCTGAAAAAATCAGTAGAAGATCAATTTTCCAAGGTTCATCCATGCTTGCCTGTGAACACCAGAGTCGGGATAATTGGTGGGGGTCCAAGTGGATTATCAGCTGCTTATGCACTAAGTAAGCTTGGTTACACTAATGTAACTGTGGTTGAGAAGTATCACACTGTTAGTGGCATGTGTGAATCGGCTGATATTGAAGGTACAAAGCAAACACAGCTGTGTTATTAGTCTAAATTGTTTTTTTCTGCCTTAAATTCTAACGAGACATGCATATTTTTCTTTTTCTTTTACAGGAAAGATTTATGATCTCGGAGGTCAAGTTCTTGCAGCAAACAGTGCTCCAACAATCTTTCATTTGGCAAAAGAAACCGAGTCTGAACTAGTTGAATTGGACTCCCACAAACTTGCACTCATTGACTACTCTACGGGAAAGTATCAGGACATCCAAGTAGCTGATGATTATGTATCTGTAATTTCACTGACCTTAGAACTCCAGGTCAGTTTCTATTGTAGTTCACAGAACTAGATTGTTGCTTGATTTTAGAGCGCAGCAGTTAGTTTTACTCTCCACTTCTCTTTTTGGTTTAATTCTCCACTTTGAATCCTGACAGGAGAAAGCAAAGGATTCCGGTAGAATTGGGGTCCATGCTGTGAGTGATTTGGCTTCAGATTCAACTCCTGTGTTTCTTGAGGGTCGTGGATTCAAATCTGTTCCCAAATCTGTAGCTTATGGATACACTGCTTCTGGATATGGTTTTGTTCAAGACATGTCTTATGCTTACATTCATGAGTTTACCCGAAGTTCTATGGCTGGAAAGATCCGACGTTTTAAAGATGGATACATGAGATTTTGGCAGAAGATCAGTGAAGCTCTGCCAATTGAAGTGCGCTGCAACACTGAAGTATTGGCAGTTCGACGCAGTTCATGTGGTGTCAGCATTGATGTTAAAAGTAATGACAGAGATGTTGAAGTAATGGAATTTGATAAGATAATTATTTCTGGGTCTTTCCCTTTCAAGATTGGAAAAACTTACAGATCACCTCAATGTTTAGCAGGTTTGTCAGATTTGTATATAAATATTTCCTTTTAGGCTTCTCATTGCTTTAAGCTTTTGTCATTTTAAATTTTAAACTACGGCTTTTCTCACTGCAGAAGACGAAAACCACGTAATGGACTATAGTGAGCTGGAAAAGGACTTGTTCAGTAGAGTACAAACTATTGATTACTATACCACTGTTTTGAAGATTAGAGGGCTGGAACATTTGCCAGTTGGGTTTTATTACTTCGATGAGTTCATGGACGATCCTGCAACTATAGGAAATCCAGTTGCAATGCAGAGATTCTATGCGGAGACAGATATTTTCCTGTTCTGGTCTTATGGCAATTCTGCAGATATTATGGGAACAAGGGTCACAGAGCTTGCAATGGATGCAGTTAAAAATATGGGGGGGATAGTTGAGAAAGTAGTTTTACAACGGCGATTCAAGTACTTTCCTCATGTAAACAGCCAAGGTAAGCTCAATGAGTTAATGTCTCACCATTTACCATTGCAATCTTTTCGATTACAAATTTTCTTTAATTTGGATACAGATATGAAGGAAGGGTTCTATGACAAAGTGGAGAGTCAACTTCAAGGTCAGCAGAACACTTACTATGTAGGTGGACTTGTGGCATTTGAGCTCACTGAAAGAAATTCATCTTATGCCATAGCTCTAGTCTGCAAGCATTTTGCAAATGATAGTTCATTGCCGACATTCCCATATCTTAAGGTAAACTTCACATTCTATATTTTTAAAAAGACCAGTAATCAGATTACATTTTTTGATGTTCTGAACATACACTGTTTCTGCAGAGAATTTTTCCACTTCAATCAGATCGCTGGGATAGAAAACCCAAAGCGTTAGAAGAATCCTCAGGAGTGAAATTTCCTGATTTGTGTGCACTTGATGGCTATCTGAAGCACTGGGGATCTCATAAAGTCACTCAAAATAAAACCCTCTACACTTGGATTAATGAAGAAGGGGAAGGGGCGTATCAGAGGACTTATGGAGAACTTCATGCCAATGCTTCTTGCATAGCTCGAAACCTCTTGAGAGGCCAGAAACCAGTAATCAAGCCTGGTGACCGGGTTCTCCTGGTCCACATCCCCGGACTTGATTTCATTGATGCTTTCTTTGGGTGCTTGAGAGCTAGAGTATTACCAGTCCCAGTTCTTCCTCCAGATCCGCTTCAAAGAGGCGGACAAGCACTTTTGAAGATTGAAAACATTGCCAAATCATGCAATGCAGTGGCAATCCTATCAACCACTGGTTATCATTCAGCTGTTTGGGCAGGTGCCGTGAAGAATTTGATCTCATTGGCGAGTAAAAATGGGAAATCCTCAGCTCGCTGGCCTAATCTTCCATGGTTACACACAGATTCTTGGATTAAGAACTCCAAAAACACACTTCCAGAGGACATAGATTATCCTTCTGAACCCCAGGCCAATGATCTCTGCTTTCTGCAATTCACATCAGGATCAACTGGTGATGCTAAAGGAGTGATGATAACTCATGGAGGACTAATTCATAATGTGAAGTTAATGCGGAAAAGATACAGTAGCACATCAAAGACAGTCCTAGTAAGCTGGCTTCCTCAGTACCATGATATGGGACTGATAGGAGGAATTTTTACAGCTATGGTTAGTGGGGGATCTGCCATATTATTCTCCCCAATTACATTCATCAAGAACCCCCTCTTGTGGCTTCAGATCATAAGCAAATATCATGGTACACACAGTGCCGGCCCCAACTTTGCTTTTGAACTTGTGGTTCGAAGATTAGAATCAGACAAGGATAAGGTTCGGAACTATGATCTTTCTTCAATGATTTTCTTCATGATCATGAGTTTACCCGAAGTTCTATGGCTGGAAAGATCCGACGTTTTAAAGATGGATACATGAGATTTTGGCAGAAGATCAGTGAAGCTCTGCCAATTGAAGTGCGCTGCAACACTGAAGTATTGGCAGTTCGACGCAGTTCATGTGGTGTCAGCATTGATGTTAAAAGTAATGACAGAGATGTTGAAGTAATGGAATTTGATAAGATAATTATTTCTGGGTCTTTCCCTTTCAAGATTGGAAAAACTTACAGATCACCTCAATGTTTAGCAGGTTTGTCAGATTTGTATATAAATATTTCCTTTTAGGCTTCTCATTGCTTTAAGCTTTTGTCATTTTAAATTTTAAACTACGGCTTTTCTCACTGCAGAAGACGAAAACCACGTAATGGACTATAGTGAGCTGGAAAAGGACTTGTTCAGTAGAGTACAAACTATTGATTACTATACCACTGTTTTGAAGATTAGAGGGCTGGAACATTTGCCAGTTGGGTTTTATTACTTCGATGAGTTCATGGACGATCCTGCAACTATAGGAAATCCAGTTGCAATGCAGAGATTCTATGCGGAGACAGATATTTTCCTGTTCTGGTCTTATGGCAATTCTGCAGATATTATGGGAACAAGGGTCACAGAGCTTGCAATGGATGCAGTTAAAAATATGGGGGGGATAGTTGAGAAAGTAGTTTTACAACGGCGATTCAAGTACTTCCCTCATGTAAACAGCCAAGGTAAGCTCAATGAGTTAATGTCGCACCATTTACCATTGCAATCTTTTCGATTACTAATTTTCTTTAATTTGGATACAGATATGAAGGAAGGGTTCTATGACAAAGTGGAGAGTCAACTTCAAGGTCAGCAGAACACTTACTATGTAGGTGGACTTGTGGCATTTGAGCTCACTGAAAGAAATTCATCTTATGCCATAGCTCTAGTCTGCAAGCATTTTGCAAATGATAGTTCATTGCCGACATTCCCATATCTTAAGGTAAACTTCACATTCTATATTTTTAAAAAGACCAGTAATCAGATTACATTTTTTGATGTTCTGAACATACACTGTTTCTGCAGAGACTTTTTCCACTTCAATCAGATCGCTGGGATAGAAAGCCCAAAGCGTTAGAAGAATCCTCAGGAGTGGAATTTCCTGATTTGTGTACACTTGATGGCTATCTGAAGCACTGGGGATCTCATAAAGTCACTCAAAATAAAACCCTCTACACTTGGATTAATGAAGAAGGGGAAGGGGCGTATCAGAGGACTTATGGAGAACTTCATGCCAATGCTTCTTGCATAGCTCAAAACCTCTTGACAGGCCAGAAACCAGTAATCAAGCCTGGTGACCGGGTTCTCCTGGTCCACATCCCCGGACTTGATTTCATTGATGCTTTCTTTGGGTGCTTGAGAGCTAGAGTATTACCAGTCCCAGTTCTTCCTCCAGATCCGCTTCAAAGAGGCGGACAAGCACTTTTGAAGATTGAAAACATTGCCAAATCATGCAATGCAGTGGCAATCCTATCAACCACTGGTTATCATTCAGCTGTTTGGGCAGGTGCAGTGAAGAATTTGATCTCATTGGCGAGTAAAAATGGGAAATCCTCAGCTCGCTGGCCTAATCTTCCATGGTTACACACAGATTCTTGGATTAAGAACTCCAAAAGCACACTTCCAGAGGACATAGGTTATCCTTCTGAACCCCAGGCCAATGATCTCTGCTTTCTGCAATTCACATCAGGATCAACTGGTGATGCTAAAGGAGTGATGATAACTCATGGAGCACTAATTCATAATGTGAAGTTAATGCGGAAAAGATACAGCAGCACATCAAAGACAGTCCTAGTAAGCTGGCTTCCTCAGTACCATGATATGGGACTGATAGGAGGAATTTTTACAGCTATGGTTAGTGGGGGATCTGCCATATTATTCTCCCCAATTACATTCATCAAGAACCCCCTCTTGTGGCTTCAGATCATAAGCAAATATCATGGTACACACAGTGCCGGCCCCAACTTTGCTTTTGAACTTGTGGTTCGAAGATTAGAATCAGACAAGGATAAGGTTCGGAACTATGATCTTTCTTCAATGATTTTCTTCATGATTTTTAGGCTAGTTTTGAGTTATCTATTGATGTGTTTGGTGGCCTTTATGGTTGTTTCCTGTTTGTGCCCTTGTGGCTGTGTTTGTGTTTTTGAGTTTGCGGGGGCTTGTTAGAATTTCCCATCTTTACCTTCACCTACTCCACTACACACTCCACTTCACCTACCTCCACTTCACCACACACTCCACTTCACCTAACCCACTATCACCTCCACTACACCTACTACCACATTTTCTTCTATATATAGATTGTATAGGAATTGTAATTTATTAATCTTGTAACACATCAATGTATCAGATCAATCAATCAATAAATACATAAATTCTTACACTTCGGTTGGTCCTTATGCCTTGATCCAGAAAGGAAGTGTTCTGGGAGAAGATTGTGAAGTACCAGCTTTGCAAAAGACCGAAGGAGGCAAGCCTGTTTTCAAATCTACCAGGGGTAAAAATATTCAGAAGGTACATACTTTAACTTCTCATCTTTATTTAAATTATAGATATGCTAATTAAGAAGTTTGGCTTGTCCTAAAGTTGAAATACTAAAAAGTTTTCTTCTAAATGCATCTTATGTTCTGTTACTTCCATGGATTCCGAATTGATTACTTAGAAAAGTATCTTATTTTTCTTTCGATCCATTTGTCAGCACCAAAGATCAAGTTTTTAAGTCATGATATTGTACTTGTAGATGGCATTTTGCATTACTCATTCAGCAAGATAACACTAAGGTCTCTCATTTTTCTCAATACAACCATCATTCTTTTTTCTTTATTTTTTTTTCCTTCCCTGGAAGCATTGGTTCCAAATGCTAGTTCTTGTTCAGATGAGGCAATTATCTTACAAATCGGAAAATAACATGAAAAGGTACTGTCATCATAGTTTGTTACTTGCATTAATAAGATTTATGAGTGTCTCGTCACTCACTTGTAAGTTTGGAGATTTCCAAGTTTTATTTATTTATTTCAAGAAATTCACCATCTAGCCATCCAGTGACAACAGTCTAAAAAGAAAAATAAAATAAGAAGGAAGTATTGTCTTATATAATCACTTACTTTCAGACTTGAATTTCATTCATCTTTCTCGTTATACTTTTTCATTTTGGACTCACATGCTTATTCCCTTGTCAACTTGCATGGAGATGACTGTGATTATGAGAATTTCTGATGATAAAATACGTTGTTGTGGAATGTATTGTAAATTACTACTAGTCACCAAGGTGGTTAAATACAAAAATTCCAATTTTTTTTGGCTTTCTTGTGCATTGCACTGATCAGATGTTACCGTTTTGCCTTACTGTGCTCATACTGATGTATCTGTGAGATGACTGTCGTCTAATATTTAATGAATGCATGCAACTTGTCCTGGATCGCTAGTGCCTTATGTTTTTCTACCATGGTTGCAGGGTGCAACACTGCAAAAAGCCACTAGTGATACTCAAACTGGAGCTATTTACCACCTCATGGGTATCTACGTGGTTGGTTTTCTCAGCTCCTTCTCAGCAGCTATCCTTTACTTCCTCTATATTTGGATATCCCAAAAGCCTCCTTCAATACGACATTTTGCATTCCTCTGTATCTCTGGTGCCTTCCACTGGTTTCCCTTTGCCATCATTGCATATGCCACTATGATTGGTAGTGCCTTTTCAACAGCAAAGAGCTTTGCCATCTCAGTTGCCATTGCTTACCTTGCTCATGGCTTGATACTCAGCTTCCTCACCGCTATTGTGGCGCATTTTCTTACCAGACACCAGGAAACAAAGCAAAGCCACTTGCAAACTTGGCTTTGCCACCGGATTACCATAGCCTGCCACCTTAGATTTGCCAAGCTGCTTTCTGGAACAGAAGCCTTTTGCATGTACTTGCGTCTTTTAGGTGCAAAAGTTGGAAAACATTGTTCTATTAGAGCCATAAACCCTGTTTCAGAACCCAAGTTAATTTCAATCGGTGATGGTGTCCATCTAGGTGACTTCAGCCGGATCATAGCTGGTTTCTATTCATCCATTGGGTTTGTATCTGGTAAAATAGAGGTGCAAGATAACTCTGCGGTGGGGAGTCAAAGCCTAGTCCTTCCTGGTTCAGTTATGCAGAAGGATGTTCTTCTTGGTGCACTTTCTGTTGCTCCAATGTATTCAGTTCTCCGAAGGGGTGGTGTTTATATTGGTTCTCAAAATCCAATCATGATCAAGAACACCATGCATGCTTTGGATGAACGAATAGAAGAGATGGACATGAAATACAAGAAGATAGTTGGAAATCTAGCTGCAAATTTGGCTGCAACAACTCTGAAGGTTAGAACAAGATATTTCCATCGAATTGGTGTCAGTGGGAAGGGAGTTTTGAAGATATATGATAACATCAAAAGCTTTCCAGATCACAAGATATTCCAACCTGGAAAGAGTTATCCTGTCATAATTCGGCACAGTAATAGCTTGAGTGCTAGAGCAAAATCCGGCTCTAACTCCCAAATCGGGAGCCCGATAGGAGTCCCGTCAACTCTGTCAAGTTTCTCGTGCCTAGGTGGTCGTGTGTGCCAAGTTTTGTGTCAAACCGACGCCGTTTGGTGATTTTGGGGCGTCAAACACCTCAAATTCAAGTTTCTTAAGGAACTAGTTTGCCTAGGGTGAAATCTGGCTCTGACTCCCAAACCGGTAACCCGATTGGAGTCCCGTCTTCTCCCACAAGCTCTCGTGCCTAGGCAGTCGTGTGTGCCAAGTTTCGTTCCAAACCGACGCTGTTTAGTGATTTTAGGGCGTCAACACCTCGAATTTAAATTTCTTAAGGAACTTGTCTTCCTAGAGAGAAATACAGCTCTAACTCCCAAACCGGGAACCCGATTGGAGTCTCGTCTTCTCCCACAACTCTCTCTTGCCTAGGCGGTCGTGTGTGCCAAGTTTCGTGCCAAACCGACGCCCTTTGGTGATTTTGGGAAATCAACACATCGAATTCAAATTTCTTAAGGAACTAGTTTGCTTAGACCGGCATCCGGCTGTAACTCCCAAATCGGGAACTCGATTCAAGCCCCGTCTTCTCCCACGAGTCTCCCGTGCCTAGGCGGTCGTGTGTGCCAAGTTTCGGGCCAAACCGACGCCGTTTGATGATTTTGGGGCATCAACACATCGAATTCAAATTTCTTAAGAAACTAGTACCTAGACCGGCATCAGGCTCTAACTCCTAAACCGGGAACCCGATTCGAACCCCGTCTTCTCCCACAAGTCTCTTGTGCCTAGGCGGTCGTGCGTACCAAGTTTCAAGCAAATCCAACCCAGTTTGGAGATTTTGGGGCGTCAACACCTCAAATTCAAATTTCTTAAGGAACTAGTTTGCCAAGAGCAAAATCCGGCTCTAACTCCCAAATCGGTAACCCGATTGGAGTCCCGTCATCTCCCACAAGTTTCTCGTGCTTAGGCGGTCGTGTGTGCCAAGTTTCGTGCTAATCCAACCCCGTTTGGTGATTTTGGGGCGTCAACACCTCAAATTCAAGATTCTTAAGGAACTAGTTTGCCTAGAGCAAAATCCGGCTCTAACTCCCAAACCGGGAACCCGGTTGGAATCCTGTCTTATCCCACATGTCTCTCGTGCCTAGGCGGTCGTGTGTGCCAAGTTTCGTGCCAAACCGACGCCGTTTGGTGATTTTGGGGCGTCAAACCTCGAATTCAAATTTCATAAGGAACTAGTTTGTCTAGACTGAAATGCGGCACTAACTCTCAAATCGGGAACCCGATTCAAGCCCCGTCTGCCCCCACAAGTCTCTCATGCCTAGGCGGTCGTGTGTGCCAAGTTTCGTGCGAAATCGACGCCATTTGGTGATTTTAGGGCGCCAACACCTCGAATTCAAATTTCTTATGGAACTAGTTTGCCTAGACCGAAATCCGGCTCTAACACCCAATCCAGGAACCCGATTCGAGCCCTGTCATCTCCCACAAGTCTCTCGTGCCTAGGCGGTCATGTGTGCCAAGTTTCGTGCCAAACCGGCGCCGTTTGGCGATTTTGGGGCGTCAATACCTCGAATTCAAATTTCTTAAGGAACTAATTTGCCTGGACCGAAATCCGGCTCCAACTCCCAAACCGGGAACACGATTCAAGCCCTGTCTTCTCCCACAAGTCTCTCGTGCCAAGGCGCTCGTGTGGGCCAAGTTTCGAGCCACACCGACGCCATTTGGCGATTTTGGGCCGTCAACATCTCGAATTCAAATTCTAAAGGAACTAGTTTGCGTAAACCGAAATCCAGCTCTAACTCGCAAACCGGGAACCCAATTGGAATCCCATCTTCTTCCACAAGTCTCTCGTGCCTAGGTGGTCATGTGTGCTAAGTTTCGTGCTAATCGTACCCTGTTTTGTTATTTTGGGGCGTCAACACCACGAATTCAAGTTTCCTAAGGAACTAGTTTGCCTAGAGCAAACTCCGGCTCTAACTCCCAACCCGGGAACCCGATTAGAGTCCCGTCATCTCCCACAAGTTTCTCGTGCCTAGGCGGTCGTGTGTGCCATGTTTCGTGCCAAACTGATGCCGTTTGGTGATTTTGGGGCGTCAACATCTCGAATTCAAATTTATTGAGGAACTAGTTTGCCTAGATCGAAACCCGGCTCTAACTCCCAAATCGGGAACCCGATTCAAGCCCCATCTTCTCCCACAAGTCTCTCGTGCCTAGGCGGTCGTGTGTGCAAAGTTTTGAGCCACACCGACGCTGTTTGGCGATTTTGGAGCGTCAACACCTCGAATTCAAATTTCTAAAGGAACTAGTTTGCCCAAACCGAAATCCGGCTCGAACTCCCAAACCGGGAACCCGGTTCCAATCCCGTCTTCTCCCACAAGTTTCTCGTGCCTAGGCAGTCGTGTGTGTTAAGTTTCGTGCTAATCGAACCCCGTTTGGTGATTTTGGGGCGTTAACACCTCGAATTCAAGTTTCCAAAGGAACTAGTTATCCTAGAGAAAAATCCGGCTCTAACTCCAAAACCGGGAACCTGATTAGAGTCCTGTCTTCTCCCACAAGTTTCTCATGCCTAGGCGGTCGTGTGTGCCAAGTTTCGTGCCAAACGGACGTCGTTTGTTTATTTTGGGGTGAAAAGACCTCGAATTCAAGTTTCTTAAGGAACTAGTTTGCCTAGAGTGAAATTCGGCTCTAACTCCCAAACCGGGAACCTGATTGGAGTCCCGTCTTCTCCCACAAGTCTCTTGTGCCTAGGCGGTCGTGTGTGCCAAGTTTCGTGCCAAACTGACGCCGTTTTGGTGATTTTGGGGCCTCAACATATCGAATTCAAATTTCTTAAGGAACTAGTTTGCCTAGACCGGCATCGGCTCTAACTCCAAAACCGGGAACCCGATTCGAGCCCCCTCTTCTCCCACAACTCTCTTGTGCCTAGACGGTCGTGTGTGCCAAGTTTCGTGCAAATCCAACCCTATTTCGTGATTTTGGGGCGTCAACACCTCGAATTCATGTTTCTTAAGAAACTAGTTTGTCTAGAGCAAAATCCGGCTCTAACTCCCAAATCGGGAACCCGATAGGAGTCCCGTCAACTCTGTGAAGTTTCTCGTGCCTAGGCGGTCGTGTGTGCCGAGTTTCGTGCCAAACCAACGCTGTTTGGTGATTTTGGGGCGTCAACACCTCGAATTCAAATTTCTTAAGGAACTAGTTTCCCTAGAGTGAAATCCGGCTATAACTCCAAAATCGGGAACCCGATTGGAGTACCGTCTTCTCCCACAAGTCTCTCGTGCCTAGGCGGTCGTGTTGCCAAGTTTCGTGCCAAACCGTCGTCGTTTGGGGATTTTGGGGCATCAACACCTCGAATTCAAATTTCATCAGGAACTAGTTTGCCTAGACCAAAAACTGGCTCTAACTCCCAAACCGGGAACCCGATTCGAGCCCCGTCTTCTTCCACAAGTCTCTCGTGCCTAGGCAGTCGTGTGTCAAGTTTCGTGCTAATCCGACCTCATTTGGTGATTTTAGGGTGTCAACACCTCGAATTCAAGTTTTTTAAGGAACCTGTTTGCCTAGAGTGAAATCCACGTCTAACTCCCTGACCGGGAACTCGATTGGAGTCCCGTCTTCTCCCACAAGTTTCTCGTGCCTAGGCGGTCGTGTGTGTCTTGTTTCGTGCCAAACCGATGCCTTTTGATGATTTTGGGACGTCAACACCTCGAATTCAAGTTTTTTAAGGCACTAGTTTGCCTAAAGTAAAATCCGGCTCTAACTCCCAAACCGGGAATCCGATTGGAGTCCCGTCTTCTCCCACAAGTCTCTCGTGCCTAGGCGGTCGTGTGTGCCAAATTTCGTGCCAAACCGATGCCTTTTGGTGATTTTGGGACGTCAACACCTCGAATTTAAGTTTTTTAAGGCACTAGTTTGCCTAAAGTGAAATTCGGCTCTAACTCCCAAACCGGGAACCCGATTGGAGTCCCGTCTTCTCCCACAAGTCTCTCGTGCCTAGGTGGTCGTGTGTGCCAAGTTTCGTGCCAAACCGACGTCGTATGGTGATTTTGTGGCCTTAACATATCGAATTCAAATTTCTTATAGAACTAGTTTGCTTAGACCGGCATCCGACTCTACCTCCCAAATCGGGCACACGATTCGAGCCCCATCTTCTCCCACAACTCTCTCATGCCTAGGCGGTTGTGTGTGCCAAGTTTCGTGCAAATCCAACCCCGTTTGGTGATTTTGGAGCGTCAACACCTCGAATTCACGTTTCTTAAGGAACTAGTTTGCCTAGAACAAAATCTAGCTCTAACTCCCAAATCGGGAACCCGATTGGAGTCCCGTCCTCTCCCACAAGTCTCTCATGCCTAGGCGGTCGTGCGTGCCAAGTTTCGTGCCCAACCAACACCGTTTGGTGATTTTGGGGCCCCAACATATCGAATTCAAATTTCTTAAGGAACTTGTTTGCCTAGACCGGCATCCGGCTCTAACTCCCAAACCGGGAACCCGATTCGAGCCCCATCTTCTCCCACAACTCTCTCGTGCCTAGGCGATCGTGTGTGCCAAGTTTCGGGCAAATCAACCCCGTTTGGTGATTTTAGAGCGTCAACACCTCGAATTCACGTTTCTTAAAGAACTAGTTTGCCTAGAACAAAATTCGGCTCTAACTCCCAAATCAGGAACCCGGTTAGAGTCCCGTCAATTCCCTCAAGTTTCGCGTGCCTAGGCGGTCGTGTGTGCCAAGTTTCGTGCCAAACCGATGCCGTTTGGTGTTTTTGAGGCATCAACACCTCGAATTCAAGTTTCTTACGGAACTAATTTGTTTAGATTGAAATCCAGCTCTAACTCCCAAACCCGGAACCTGATTAGTGTCTCGTCTTCTCCCATAAGTCTCTCGTGGCTAGGCGGTCGTGTGTGCCGCGTTTCGTGCCAAACCAATGCTATTTGGTGATTTTGGGGTATCAACACCTCGAATTCAAATTTCCTAAGGAACTAGTTTGCCTAGACCGAAATCCAGCTCCAACTTCCAAATCGGGAACCCGATTCGAGCCCCGTCATCTCCCACAAGTCTCTCGTGCCTAGGCGGTCGTGTGTGACAAGTTTCGTGCTAATCAAACCCCGTTTGGTGATTTTTGGGCGTCAACCCATTGAATTCAAGTTTCTTACGGAACTAGTTTGCCTAGAGCAAAATCTGGCTTTAACTCCCAAACCGAGAACCGGATTGGAGTCCCGTCTTCTCCCACAAATCTCTTCTACCTAGATGGTCGTGTGTGCCAAATTTCGTGCCAAACCGACGCCGTTTGGCGATTTTGGGGCGTCAATACCTCGAATACAAATTTCTTAAGGAATTAGTTTGACTAGACCGAAATCCGGCTCTAGCTCCCAAACCAGGAGCCCGATTCGAGCCCCGTCTTCCCCCACAATGTCTCATTTGCCTAGGCGGTTTTGTGTGCCAAGTTTCGTGCCGATCCGACCCCGTTTGGTGATTTTGGGCATCAACATCTCGTATTCAAACT